TGCACCTCTCTCCTCCCTCTGCTCTCTCCCGATATTGCGTATTCGGCCCCCGAAACGCCGGTGGCTCGGGGAGGGCCCGCCGAATCGGAATCAGAGTCGCTCGTACTCGCCCTCGCTTCACCATTTTGTGGCGCCGGCGGCCTCGGTACGGGAGGTCGAACTGGAGCAATTGGGACTGCTGCAACAGATGGCTCTGCTACAGTTGTTGAAGGTTTATCCTCCTCCATAGTCATGGCACTTTACTGAAATACAAAACTACCTAGCGCAGTTTTCCCCCTTTTTCTCAGTGAAACATATAAACGAACAGTTTATGTGCAATGTGTGAACGAGACGGTACAGAAAATTCAGAAACCCTTTACCCTCCTCGAGCTTCGCTTTCTCCTCCTCCGGCCTCTTCAGTCTTCAGATTTCACAAACCTTATTCTGGGACTTGGTTTGGGTTGGGGAGTTTTGACAATGGACCTCTTGTGGATTCTGTAGTAATGGGTTCTGCTAGAAAGAGGCCTGATGCCTGCCCAAAAAGCCTTTCCGGAAAAAGAAACCCTGTAAATGGGCTAAAAGCCTAAAACTCTAACTCAAGGCGATTTGGTAACCACCAATTTTCAAATTTTAATTATAATTAAATTATACTTGGTATTTTAGTACGGCCAACTAGGTCTGTCTGAGCATAGATCGATTTGATTTAGTCAATTACGAAACTTTTACGTGTCCATTTTTTTAAAATTTCTTTCCGGGTGGAACCAGGGCAAGTCTGATTCTTTATCAATAGTTTTCAAAACCAACATTGAGGTTAACTTAACATTGTGTTTAAAGTATTATTATATGGATGCATTTCCAATTACACATGCTCATTGCCAAACATAACCTTATTAATATGACTTATTTATCAAAATTAAAAAAAATACTAAGGAATTGGAATTGAATCAACTACTCTTCCTAGTTGATCTGATTATGGATTTTACCATGGAACTCTCATTCTTTTTATTTTGTGTGTGTAAGTAAACATAGAAAAAGTGGAATTGAAATCATTCCAATACCCATGTGTCAGCAAACACTCGGGAAAAATGGATTGGAATAATTCTGATACCCATTACTGATTAAAAATAATAATTTAATTAAACCAAACCATTAGCTTGATACGATCGGTGTGCAAATTTTTCGAATCAAATGCCCACCCCCAACACCATTATAGTACTGTAAGAAAGTGAGAGAACCATCAGTAGGGCTAAAATGTTTCCTCCCAAAATGATGAATGAGGGAAGATGGCATTCCCCAATTCTTTATACATGATTATTGACCAAGGGAATATGTAGTCTATGTTATAATATGAATATATATATATATGTATATATATTGTTACATTGGGAGGAAAGAAACCTCATTCGAACCTGGAGTGTCAATCAGGGGAAAGGGGGAGGCCACCACTGTGCTACCTGCTGTCAGCTTATAATATGAATAATGACTAGGCACTAATATTCAATATACCTTCCGACAAAGTATGAATAAAGGAAGGCATTGGAACAAGAGAACAAAGACAACGACAACTTCCAGAGAACACATAAAACGTGTAAATAAAAACACTCATCAACCCATACGTTGCCATTCTCATCAAATTCCTTTTTCCCATTCCAACTAAAATCTTCCTAATTACAAGAAAACAAAAGAAAACTTTGGCTTTTTCGTGTTTTCTTTGTGTATATATATATTTTTTTTCTGTCAGCAAAGAATAAAAGAAAATTATGGCTGAAGGCACTTAGAACAAGAGAAGTATTACATTTACTTACACTGCAGAGATTTCATGAGAAAGTATCACATTCTGATCAGATTATACATTTTTTGTTGACAATCAACGAACATATCACCTAAGACATGCACAGTGACCTAATTTCAGAGGCGACCTACAAAATCTCAGGCGAGTTCTCATCAACATATGACCAAAATGCAACACATACAAACTGAATTAATAGAATTTGCTGAACTTTTGCCCCAGTTCATAGTACCACCTATTATATACCCTGCCCTATAAACAGCCCAATAAAACAAAAGAAAAAAAGAAGCTACAATACGTACGGCATACTCTCACAAAACTGGTTTCTCCAAACTACATTGCAATCTTAAATTTGCTGACATTGCCAAGTTCCACTGCCTCAAGTCAGGTTTTCATAGCCAGCATGAACCCTGTTGTTCCTTCTCCCTCCGTTCCTCCACCCTCGATCTTTCTGATAGTGATCGCCGTTAAATCTTGAGGTCTTGTATCTTGAGTTGTACCAACTGCCACCCTCTTTCTTCCTGCTATTTGCATCCGACTTTCCCCAGAAAGCTCCATCAGTTCGTCTATAATACATGTTGTTTGGACCACCAGTATTGTTCTTCCATTCACTAGCATTGTTCTCCCAATTGTTATCCCATCCTCCTACGCCTGCTTTACTCTGAGCAGAAACAGGTTCCCAAGGATTTTCTTTATTATCCTCATTCCATCCACGATTCCAATTGTCAGGATTTTCTTTATTTTTGAATTCCTCTTCTTCATCACCCCATCCAGTGCACGAAAATGACTGATTTAAAAGGAGGGGATTGCCGAGAATAACAGCCTCTTCCTGGGCTTTATCATTGGAGGGTTTAGGTTCCCTTTCCAAATCCAAAACCAGTTCAGGATCAATGGTGGAGTTCCAATCAATATCATCGATATAAATGTCAGGATCTGGCAACGATATGCTACAGGGTAGACCATTAATCTCCGCCCAAAACCGGCTTTTTGCATTGTTGAATGCCTCTTCACCAGCAGAATCATTCCACCGAACGATGTTTTCATAAAGATACATATACTTCTTTGTTTCTATGAGTTTTCCCCATGGAACTGAGCCAACAATCGAACAGAATTTCCTTTCCCAGTGTGGCACAGTGAACTGCCAACTATCTGGTAAGAGAAAACAAATAAAACTGTCAATTCAATCATCATAAAACTACAGAACATGCTACATTTGGTTAACAAGTAAACAAAAATTCAAGAAAGAGCCACAATTTCCTTGAAAGGGAAAAAGATGCAATGAATGATCAGAGAGATGGAAATATGATGCAACCTGGGAAACAGATGCAATAAAGGATCACGGTGACGGAAATATGATACAAACTCGAAAAGTAATGCTATAATATATATAGAGGACAACCTGACAGAAAAACGACAAAGGAAATCTAACCAAAAAATTCAGGAACATGACAAAGGAAATCTAACCGAAAAAGACAACGGAAATCTAACCGAAAAAAACAAATTTGTTTGCGATTTCATCAATGGCTAAACTAACCAAATCAGCAAGAAACTTATTTCCAAACGAAAAATGTCGTCACCCTTCTTTAAAACCAAACATATCACTGTAACATTTACAGGAAAATCCAACAGAAAAACAACAATGGGAATCTAACCAAAGAGACAACTGTCATGCTTTTCTCCATTTCAACAGCATTTTCACACTTTTTTTTTCCAGTTACAAAATTGAAAATCCATATCAAGTTAAGATTAACAGCTAAACTAACCAAATCAGCAAGAACCTTATTTCCAAAACCAAACATGCCACTGCAAGTCTGCAACATAGCTTCAACTAGAAATCGTGAATTTTACAAAAATAAAACAATACTCTGCAAATTAAAACTCTCGCAGTTCAAACATTAGAAGCCACACTTCCCAGGTACACAAGCAACTGAACACAGTAACAAAAATATATAAAGCCCTGCCAAAAACCATATTCGTTGCAATAAAATCTACACATATACAAATATCAACTAATTCGAACACCGCTCTGTTTTAGTGACAAAATCAAACAGGGTAATCATTCAAAACAAAGAACTTCTACCATCATAACAGCCTAGCTCACCTCATAGTGTAAAACTTCTGTACAAAATGAAGACATCTTTACAGAACCACACATGCTCCAGCTCGGGAAAAGAAACTAAAAGGTTAACTACAGTTGGGCGAAGGATTTACCAAAACCAGTACTGCTCCTCCTGATATGGAAAAAAGCAGAAATTTTTTCTTTGGGAAATCTTCTGCTGTCTGGTAGATTTCAGAAAAACTCCTGGTTATAGGTTTTATTAAGACTTATAAGAGTAACCACCTTATTTTATTTCCAAAAGTGGAGAGATTTAGAGAGAAAATAAGATTTGTTTGCTAATGAACTTCTAAAACCTCAATCAATGATATATCTCCATTAGTCTCCTACTCAATTAAGATTTTTTTTTTCTTAATAAAAAAAATTCTCCCCATTGGTAAAACTTCTTGTCATGAAACTTTGTTCTGTAGGGACAAAAGAAGCCGGTAGATAGATATACAAAGCAAATAGAAAAATCAGGTAGAACCCCAATGCATAATTCCAAAAACAAACAAACTTCAACCCATTCAGCGGCTCAAGAAACAGAACAAAATTCATAAACAACACAAACAGAGAGAACCATAAGAAAATCAAAGAAGAACCCAATTTCCCAAACTAAAAACCCACCTCAAAGAAACAATCTTCAACAGACTTACAAACCAGTGTTCATGAAAAAACCTTCAAATTATAAATTATAAATATATATATACCTTGTGGCGGCTTTCTGTTCTGTGGTTTAGTCCAGGGAATGTGCTGTTGAGAATAAATGTAACCTTGTTGCCCTCTCCAACTCCCCATGATTAAAAACCAGCGCACGCCACTGAGTTCAAGCAGAAATAAAAAATAAAAAAATGAAAAATCAAGAGCAAGAGCAAGAATTTGGAAATTCTGATGCCTTGAGCAGATGGGTATCTGAATTTTTTGCTGAGACAGGTCGCAGATCGGATGAGAAGCTAGAGAGAGGCGTGAGAAAGTTGTGTTTGTGCCCCCGAGAATTAAAAGGGAAGCGAGGACCCTCTTTTTTTTTTTTTATTCTCTCTCTCTCTCTACAATATCATGAAAGAAAGAAAGTAACTCCGAGGTTTTAGAACTGTTTTTGTTTCCTTAAAAAGACCCCGGTTTTGGTTTGTTGTTTGCAGCCCTTGGTTTTGTAAACAATTACCAAATTCGTATAAATAGACAGAAAGAGAGTTTTTGATGACGATGGGGTGGGTGACTCGGTGGCGGTCTAAGAGGGTTTCACTGCCCCACACGTCTACAACATAGCTATGGAAACTCATACTGCAAGTTTTGTGCGTTACAAGTCTTTCTTTTTTTCTTTTTTGTTTGGTTGGGTTGAAATTGTGCGTTGCAAGTTAGTGTAGTGACTTCATCAGTCGAAATTGTGGTAGGAAATGCCGGAAGTTATAAATTGGGATTTTATTTTTATTCCCAAATGGAAGATGATGATTGAAAAACAATTGAATTTCCAAAACTGATAATTTTTTTTCTTTGTAAATAAAGAATTCGATTTTGGTTTATATGGTTTTTTAGGACTTTTCTTTTAGCCAAAAAAAAATCCTTTAATTTGATACCATGGCAAACCATGCACTACAATTCTTTTAGAATGTAAATTCTTAACCAGTCCCTCAAAATCCATCATATCATAGTTATTATTCTCCATGGAGGAACCAAAACCCCTTCTGCAATCCTTGAATAGATGCTCAATGGATTCCAATGAAGAAACACTTCTCGAACAAGTAGCTTTTTATGACACATAACCCAAAGAAAAGTCTTCACCTTAGGTGGACTAGCAAGCTGCCAAATAAAATTCTACTTCCACTTCAAAGTATCCCCCTCATGGTCCAAGGTGCTATAACAAGGCAATAGAAAACTTGTCATTGGAAGTGAGGTACCAAATGCATTGATCAGAAATCACTACCAGAAAACTGAGCATGAGTACTGTCAATCAAATTCACAATATCATTAAGCAAATTGATATCCCAAACACAGTCATCCAAAAAATCACTCACATTCAACTACAACATTTCCTGAAATAAATCAGTAAGAGCATAATGTCAACTCTCCACTTAATGTCATTAGGGAGAATCTGAGCACCATAAAGAACACCTCTCCAAACACTAGAATTGCAAATATACTGAATATCTTTAGCATTAATAACATCACACTGATGCAAGTATTTAACATTTTTTTTCCTCAAACAAGAGTTTTCCCTGCCCTATTCTCTGCTTGAATTTAATCTAAGGATTTTTTTTAAAAAAATTTGGTTTTCAATATTGATATGTCATAATTTAGTGCACCAAAATACTATTTGGTTATTAGAAGTAGTATATATATATATATATATATAATATCAAAGTAATTTACATGGACCTTCAGTTGAGGGACCCGAAATTGTATTTCAATGATCCGAACGTCGAAGTTTTATTTATTCATTCAAAGATCATCTTCACCAAAAATCTCTTGAATCCAAATCTATTTGACTAGTCAATTGAATGTGATTGTTGTTTTAGTTTCTTGAAGCATGTTCATCGATTTTGTTAAGCACAATTAGATAACTTAATGATTTATGAATTTTTTTTTTTTGGCATGGATAATCTATGAATGAAGACTTAAAAAATAGACGGTTCGGATCATTCAAAAAAAATTCTTAGTGGACCCCAATGGGTGTTCCTTAAATAAAATTAATTGAAGGATCCCTCACCCATCCATATCTAAGAACACCTTCCAAAGACCATCCTCACTGTTTTGCTTCACTTCATCCCTTCATAGTTTAACGCAATCAAACTTCAAAGCATCCACAACCAAGGTCAATCTCTTGTGATTCTTCAACTTTGCATTCAGTATCATGATTCGTAATCCTAGATCTGAATTATTTATGAACCCATATTTGTGAAAACTTCAAAAAATAAATAAATTAAAGTTTGGTCACTTTTGATTTTCCAGTTTGTACCATTGTTCTTTCTTATCTTTTACTAGTTACATGCTTTCCATGAATCTTAGTCTTGTGCTTATGTAACTATGTCATATTTTTTAAAAAATTTATGAATAACATGTGAACAAATAGCACACTCGAGTGGAAAAAGAATAAACCCTTTGATTTTTACATGTGAACAAATTGCTACAGACTCTTAATCACCTTTACTATTTTTCTGTAACCTCCACTTCTCCAAATAACTTCAAAATATTTTCGAAATATTTTTCCAACACTTCTACAAATTTAAAATAACCTCTAAAAGAATCCAACTTAATTTCTAAAAATTCTGAAAATTTAAAAAACTCATACTTTCATTATTTTAAGCCCCAAAAATTTTCCTTTCTCACCAACTAAAAATACAAATTTTTTAGGTGCTCATACTTCACCCCCCTTAAAATAAATCTTGTCTTCGAGATTTACTCGACACCTTATCCACTAGAAAGGTGCAGGTTATCTTCTTCATGTGTCAAACTTTGGTTTACAAATCGTTTGTTGAACTCAATGACATTCTTACTATGTTGCATGAAGTGAAACATGTTAGTCTCGAAGTCGTTTCATCTCATATACAAGTCGTCTAATAGTCAATCCTTGAAAGTATGAAGTCATCAACACAAACTTGATAAATGGTGTGTCAGATTCAGCTGTATCCTCAACTTGTGATACTTGCAAGTTCACGAGCCGTTCAGTAGTATAGGATATGTAAGTGCGAGATCGATCCCACGAGGATTGATGATAGATTGATTCAATTCAATTCCAGGCACAAAACAAAAAACAAGAACGAAAGAAAAGAACTAACTCAAGCAAATAAGTTAGCAAGTTCAATTCAAATTCACAGATTGATTCTAGCTAAAATATGATTAAGTCATGGTGTCTGGTCTTGACCTTATATTCCTAATTCCTTAATTTGATCATTTGTTGTCGAACCTAAATTAAGCATTAGAAATTCATTAAACATAAAAGAATGTTTTAAACAACCAAGCATGTGTCTAATACCTGTTGTCGAATGTCCATACATACTCTTCCTATTCATAGTTTAATTTGAATTAAGGCATATGGTATCTACTCTTGATTCCAACCAAGATAGCTAATATACAAGTTTTAATAGTGATCAATCATTCAAACAAGCATATTATCTTGTAAGCATAATGAATAAGAACAAGAACCATAATTGAAACTTGAAAACTAATCAAACTTGAAAACTTAAAATAAGAAATTACATGATAATGAAAAATAAAGTACAACTACGAAAAACATAAAGGAAAATTTAGCAAAAGAGTTTTGTTACAACAATTGAGAACTTGAAAGAAAAACTAAGAGAATTTGAGGGAGAGAAGAGAGATGAGCTCTGGAGAGATGTTTGAGAGCTTCCTCCTTGGGGTATGTTTGTAAGCTTGGAGAACCTCACTATTTATAGGCCTAGGGGAAGTAAAAATCGGATTTGAGTATTGCCTCTACTTATAGCACTTACTTCACCAACTTTACCTAACTTCCCCACTAAAAAACAATTAACTCATGCATCTGTCATGCATGACAATGCACTGTAGTATTCTTATAGGCATATTTTGGAAAAATATGGACCTTCAAGCTATTTGTCTTATCTTTCCAACCATATGTAGCCCATCGGAAAGGCCTTCAAATGTCTTTTTTTGTACAATAATGTAGATGCTTTTGAAATTGACCTTAAGCTAGCCAAACTTTCATAACTTCTTCTAGAAGACTCAGAATTATGAACTGTAAAATGTTTCATAAACTAGACTCCCACATATTTCCAATGGTATATGGCTCATTAGCTAGTTCTTCATGAGCACGTACAGTCCAACCAGTGAAGTTGACTGATCTGCAGACAGTTTTGAGCTATCTTGACTTCAAAATGCATTAAATGAGTCCTAAATCTTAATACATTGAAACAAACACAAAAGAGATTAAAAGCACAAGTTTAACTAAAAAAACATAATGAAATCATAAGCTAGAAGGGTGCAAAATTATATACAATTATGCACTGATCAATAAATTATCTCCTCGAAGATGCATAAAACTTTTACCATCTCTAGTGATTCACAGTTGATCCTCAACGACTCAGATACTCTTAACTAATTCTGAAGTGACTTCCAAGCCTAAGACAAGTCGTGTCTCAATGTTTACTTACTATGATGATCAACGTTATAGTCATACGTCAAGAGTTGTATCTAATCATACACTTATGCATTTCCTTATTTATCATTCACTTAGTTGGCGACTATGACAAAACCTTTTCCTCTCGTTCAGCCTTATGCTTGATATCCATGTCTCATCCCTGATTCTCCTTGATTCCCATTGGTGACACTTGTTGTACTTGTTAAGGACGAGCAACTGGGTTTGCATGTTCATGCCTTGGTTGTTTCGACTATCTTGACATCACGACATCACATAGGTCAAACCTTCTTGGGCACATCGTCTCTATGTAGCACACGCCACATCCAAAGCATGTAACTGGTTTTTGCTTTTTATGGGCTTGACCATTATTACTGGAACCTTCGTAAACCCTTATTTCCAAATTCCTTTTTTTAATATGCCTCCTTTGATCATTGATCTCCCAAATTCAACATTTCTCTATGCACTTGTTAAATAGTATTGCTCAAGTGCATAAGCAGACTCCACGATCTCTTCATACATTTTGGATCATTGGCATACAATATATCTCTCAATTCTATCTTTCAGGCCATGTAGAAACTTCGTGGTCATTATCTTTCCATATGAAACCAAAGCTTTAGCAAATTGACTCAATTCAATAAACTTGGACACGTATTCCGCCACAGAGATATTCCCATGCTCAAGTTTAACACACTATTTGTCTGTTGCATAATGTTAGGAAAGTAACGATCCTTGAGATCTAATAATGATCAAAGGAAGAATTCAAAAATAAAGGATGACAAGGATTCTAGTGACAGTGGTCAAGCCTAGAAAAAGCAGAAGTTAGTTATGTGTTTTGGATGTGGCGAGGTGGGCCACATAAAGACTATGTGCCCAAGAATGTTTGACCTAGGCAATGCAATGATGTCAAGACAACCACAACAACTGAGACTTGAGAATGCAAACATGATTGCTCGT